GCACAGTCTGCAACTTGGGTCCTATCTAGTGTGGTAGACCCCTGCTTCTGTGGATCTTGTGCAAAGTGCCTGCTCTTGTGGTGCTATCAGTGCTTCAGTGCTGTCTTTTAGCCCAGCCCTTTCAAGCTAATGGTAGGATTTCCCAGTGTCAACCACCTCAGCTATCTGTTTATAGCTTGTCTTGCCATGGCAATTCCTCTGCTTGAACTTCCTGCCATGTCTGCTGCTGCCTCAGGCATTCTCTCAACAGCTCATCTTTGGGTATCATCTTACTGATATACTCCTGAATGCTTTGGGTTTCATCCAGGACAGTGGCTTTGACACTCACCAGACCCTGCCTGCCCTCTTTCCAACTGGTGTACAGTCTCTGGGTGTTGGACTTGGGGTGGAAACCTCCACAGAATGAGAGGAGTTTCTGGGTCTTGACATCAGCAGCCTCCGTGTCCTCCTCTGGCCAGCTCACTATACCGGCAGGACATCTGATGACTAGCAGAGTGTATGTGTTGATAGCACGGTGGTTCTTCTCATTGAACTGGCTCTTCAGGACCTTCTCTTGTTCCCTCTTGTACAATAATGTACAGAGGCCCAGTAAAATTGTAGAATACCATACTGAGAAGTACATTCTCTGTAGTATATGATCCAATGCATTACTTGTCTTTTTACTAAACCATCTATTGCCCTGAAATGGAATTCTTCAACTCAGGTCCTAGACAATCCAAGAGGAGCAATACATACTGCTGAAGGGCAGTAAATTCAACCACTGTTTCTGTTGTGGTCTCCTGAATCTTATCCATTTGCTACTTAGTGATCCAAATTGCCTAAGCACTGAAGATTTTGGTAATGCTATGAATGTCATGTTCACCCAAAGGAAATGTTGCTATTTCATGAGGCAAGCTTGGTAATCTATCAACACTAGAGGAAAAAAAACCTTCTGACCTATTCATCAAGCTTTCTCCCTATCTTGCCTATTGATACTATGCATTACCAGGAATGAGCCCGGCACTGGGAGGCATCGGAAGATGATACAGATTGGGTAATAGAAACTGAACATGAATTATCCCCATATAGCTGAGAGTGATTATCTAAGCAAGAGCAGCATCATTAGATAACATCTCTCAATATGTCAATGCCAAAGGATCTGCTGAGGATTGACATTTGCTTCAATGTAAGCTGTGGCTTTTAGTGCAATGCTGCAACCATCAAATTTTTGCTGCTGATAGAACAGCAACCCCACAGGTCAGGAACTGGCTGACCAGCCTCAGGACAATGCTGAAGCATAAGAGGTGGGTTTTTTGAGACAACAACTGTGATGACTGAACCTGGAAAGGCTGTTTCCTGATTGATCCAATAGAATGGGAGAGTAAGGCTCATTATGGCAATGGGAAGAAGAGAAGACTGTACTGTTCAAGAATGGTATCTGAAAATTAGAGATAGAAAAGGATGGACACTAGACAAGATCTGCTATTAGTAGCATGAAAATATGGAGACTTGTTCAAAACTGAGAATGACAAATGCAAGGTAACTGGTTCTGAATTTCTTCCCCAGAGACTGAGTCTGCAATCTGGTCACTCCCAAGTAGTGAGTCTCTTAACAAAAACAGCATAGGAAATTGTAGCAGACGAGGGATGGAAATGGTGATGATGACATCAATATTAATGGTGCTAGTACCAGTGGAGCAAAGACTAAAGAGTTGAATCTGATGTCAGTAATGAAAGAGCAGCCAGTTTATGCTTCTTTTTCTTTTATGGTGATGATATTGGTGGCTCTGCTGGTGCCAGTGCTCCAGGATCAGAGGCAGCTTGTGTTTACAAGGTCAACAGATCAAATAATGCCCTCAATTGCATAGGCAATGCAGCTTTACAAGTAGCTCTAAGCTACAAGTGTGCAATAGCTGAAAAATGGGAGGGGCATCCACAAAGCATGCCTGAAGCAAGTTGAATAAGTCATCCAAACCTGTTTGCTAGGGAGGGCAGGCAGTGAGGACATGTATTTATTACATGCTCTTGCTTGAGCAGTTCAGGTTCAGGGAGGTTTATACCATGAGTAGCATATAGGTTGAAAACATTAAACAAATCCAGAGAACAACCAAAGACCTATTGTTAAAATGGACAAAAGAGAACTAAGGATTGGGTGGGATCCTTTATCTATAGCAAGTCTCAGGGAACAGGTGGAGCTCTGCCAAAGATCCAAAGCTTTGTACAGGTAGACCTCGCTTAATGACTGCCCTGTTTAGCGACTGTTTGAAGTTATGTTGCTCAAAAAGTAACTTTACTACCAGTCCTCACTTTTACAACTGTTGCAGTGTCCCCGTGATCACACGATCAACATTCCGGCACTTTACAACCAGTGGGCATTTACAACTGACACACTGTCCCGTGGTCACATGATTGGCATGCTTCACAACTGGCTTCCGATAAGCAGTCAATGGAGAAGCTGGCAATAAAATTGCAAGTTACAGTGATGTCTTGCTTATCAACCCGCAGTGACTAACTTAACGACAGAATGGGAAGTGATATCAAAGCCAGTTGCATCACGTTTTGCTTAGCGACCATGTTGCTTAGTGATGGAATTGCTGGCCCCTATTGTGGTTGCTAAGCAAGAACTGCCTGTATCTGTGTGAATGAGCTGCACTACAATATCAGATCCCATATGTCAATCATAAAGACTATGAATGAAAGTGGTTCTCCAGGCAAGAAATAATTCTAGTACTGCCAGAAGGCAGACATGGTCCCCCAATGAAAAGAGACTTGATATTCAAATATTTTATTTTCAACATTTAAGTTCAACCATCTACCATGTAAACAGTTACCTCCCATCAACACAGCCAATTTCAAACACCTGAAGCTTAATGGGAACAAAGCGATAGCATATGGTCTTTACTAATGATTCTTAGTGTCCACAGATATATCATCCATCCATCCATCCATCCATCCATCCATCCATCCATCCATCCATCCATCCATCCATCCATCCATAGATAAAATACACACAGAGAGATTATGAGTGGCATGGAAAATCTGACTATTCATTATCCTGCAACTAACAATAGTATCAGCGCTTAAAATACTCAGGCCCTCCATTCAACAAGATCTCACATTATATTCACAAAACAAAAAGAAATAATTATTCTGTGTATTAATAACTTACTTGTCATTAGAAATACTGCAATCAATCACAGTTTTCTTGCTGGTGTTCACTATGATAAATGGCAAGTGAATGACAGAATTAGAAGCTGGTGGTCTATTTGCTTGCTGTTCTGCATGACGATTTCGCTGAACAAGATTTTTGAAGGCAATTTGCTGTTAAGGGAGTTAAGCACACAAAGTTTGCTTTTTTAAGATTTGGGAAACAATTTGTATTATTTACGTCAATAGCCTTACACGTGGCAGGACCCAGTTGACCTTGGTGATCTCAGAAGTTAAGCAGGACTGGTCCTGGACAGTATTTGTTGGGGTACCATCTGGAAATTTCAAGGCTGTTGACTAGACAGGGGAGTTGAAAAAGACAGCCAAGGCAAACCACTTCTATAATGCTGCCAAGAAAACTGCTCAATTACAAGTTACCACAAAGCTGAACTCAACTCAAGGGCATCTTTATTATTTGTTATAGTCATTTGTATGCCATCAGATTCTTTTTTTTTTTTTTTTTTTAAGTTTGAAGCATGCATGTTCTGTATTTGAGAAATGTTGAAATCATGACAGGTTGACATTAGTTAAATTAAAATAGAATTAAAGTAGAAGAGAAAATCTGAATTCAAATGCTTATTTTCAGGGTTGTACCTAACATCAGATTAGCAGAGAGAAAAAGTATGCTAATGTTCTCTGATGATACCTGAAGAATTAATTCTTGTAGCTGTGACTGTTTTTGCTTTATTCTTTCAAGTCTTCTCTGCCTCTCCACCTTAACAAAAAAGAGAAAAATTTGTAATAACATGTTGAATAAATCTAAAAAGTATACTTAGTGTACTTGAAACAATTTTAAAGGTTTTACTCACCAGTGAGGATCTAAAACAGCATGAAACTAGTTTTGCATGCATGAGAAAATTTACAATTGTTCTAAAAATAACAGAATCTATGCCAAGTAGCAAGCAACTTCAAAAGCACATTTTTTTCAAAAGCAGTTTAAAACTAGCAGTGCAGAAATAAAATATCCAATATTTCAATTATGCTAAGACAGTTTCCCAATATTTACTGTTACCCATTCAAACAGACTGAGAGTTAGGAATCCTCTTGGTATAAAAGTACTGGATTTCAAATGTTTCCTGGAAAAAACCCCAAACCTACACTATCAGTTGTTCTTGTCCTGTGTTAATTTCCAGTACATTAAAAGGGCCCTTTTAACAGCTTGCTCCATATTTTTAACTTTTTAAGCAAACTGAATTGTTTCCTCTTTAATTTAACTGCAAGAATATAATTGTAAAAGCAATGAAGTGTACGCCACAAAATACTATTTTAAACATGAATCTTAAACAACAAATCAACCACATTAAAGGGAAATGAAATAAACCACATTAAAGGAAAATTAAAGGGAAATCAATAACTTAGAATGGAAGTGAGAGAATCTGAGCAGTCCTCATATTTAATCAGAAAATCATTAGATCATTAATCATTAAAATATTACAGATGGCATATTTTCAACAAATGTTACCTCTAAATTCTGGCATTCCTGAGCTGAATTAGTAGGTAGGCCAATCCATTTGATTTCTTTCTTCTCCTTGGAAATAATGTTCATGGCCATAAGAACATTTAAGGCATCATAGACCCGTCGCCTTATATTTTTCTGATCATAAGCCTGCTGTAGACATAACGAATTAAGTGTATCAGAATACCTGCAGTTAACTATTTAGTAATGTAAACTAGCAGATTAGACAAATAGACAATGTTACCATGAGTTATTCCAGTTGAACTTGTTAGTTTTATAAACTGTGACCGAGAGAGCAGTAAAAGGATTGGGTCTGCACATGGGTATCCTCAGTAAGTAAAAAAGGGATTTTTATGGAGAAAGTGTATATAATTCATTAAAAAAATTAATTTAGAACACAAATATATTTACCGATTCATTTGGTGAGATGTGAGCATCTGCAGTACTGAATTCTGCAACTAACTCATCTGCTACCTCATTGTATGAGGTAGTTCCTTTCCTCTGAACCTTCTCACAAACCTTCATAGAGAAGTGTCGTAAACCCTTGCCATTCTTCTCTCCCTTTTTGTTTCGTTTCCTACAAAAATACAATTAGCTATAGGTACACAGGTCCCTAATCCATTTACATACATAATAGATTTATATATTTTACTATGCTGGTCTTTAACCATAATAAAGATTTGATTTGATATATATTTTACTTTTTAAACGGGTTTCCTGAACCACTAGCTTCATTTATTGTTTCAGCGTACATGACTAGTTTATTTACACAACCGTGACGAAACACATCTACAGCTAAAATAGAATCAAAGAATATGAATTTACTTTATGACTTGAAATGTTTACACTCTCTTTTATAGAAAAAATTTCTATACTCTGTACTAAAGATATATGTGTCACACCAACATGCTGTACCAAAATATACTTGGGAAAAGAATAACTACTGCTTGAGAGCTTATTATTATTCAGCAAATGCCAAATTGATTAAAGTTTGATGTCAGAGTTAAACTGCATATTTTTGAGGCGTGTATTTTCATATTCCTACAAAACTGTAATTGTAGTTATAACTTAACTGAATGTTACTTACCCAGCAGACCAAGGTGAAGAATCTGCAGTCTGATTCTGTGATATAAAGTGTGTATTGGGAGTATGTGGACTTCCTACTAAAATAGTATTTGGGGCCGATGGTCTCTGAGGTGTACCAATAACCTACAATTAACAGAAAACAATTGCATTACTCATTATTCTGATATTATTAGCTTCATTAGTAAGGAAAAAAATGCAACTTTTTTTTGTACTGGCCACATTAAAGAAGTCTACCCACAGGATCACAATCTTAAAATATGTTTATACTGTCCCTGTCCTCCAATACATTTATCAAAATTGTAACTCTTTATTACAATGTTAAGAGTAATAATAATAAAAGTTCTCCAGACAGATATTTTCCCCAAGCTTTTATAGGCTTGCTGTTGGGTCTCTTCTGCAATACAAAATGTTACTTTAAGTATACCTGTACCACCCTCTAGCAGAGATCAAGTTTTCCATGAGGGAGAAGTGGTTTATTTCCTACTCTCAGACTGGAACCCTGCTATTATGAACAGAGTTGCCAGGTTTTTACTGGCAGCTATTGCCGTAAGAACGCTCAAGATGTCTGAATCCTGGAATGATGTCGCTAGGAAGTTCTTTTATCTTCATTTTATCTGTTTTGTTTTGTCTCATCTTGTTATTTTTTGTTTTTTTATACTTGTAAATTTTAACTGGCAGGTCTATATGGTGGTTTTATTGCTGTTATTATATTTGAGCCTGCTTTTATGTGCTGTTTTTATTACTGTAGCTACTTCATTAGTCACTGACCATAAATAAATACAATTTCAGATATTACTTTAAATAATTAGCCATGTACAGTGGGGCAAAAAAGTATTTAGTCAGCCACCAATTGTGCAAGTTCTCCCACTTAAAAAGATGAGAGATCATAGGTATACCTTAACTATGAGAGACAAAATGGGGAAAAAAATCCAGAAAATCAAAGTAGTTACAGGTCTGTGAGAGCCAGACATCTTGCTTGTTTGTAGGTGACCAAATACTTATTTTCCACCATGATTTGCAAATAAATTCTTTAAAAATCAGACAATGTGATTTTCTGGATTTTTTTCCCCATTTTGTCTCTCATAGTTAAGGTATACCTATGAAAGTAGTTACAGGTCTGTGAGAGCCAGACATCTTGCTTGTTTGTAGGTGACCAAATACTTATTTTCCACCATGATTTGCAAATAAATTCTTTAAAAATCAGACAATGTGATTTTCTGGATTTTTTTCCCCATTTTGTCTCTCATAGTTAAGGTATACCTATGAAAGTAGTTACAGGTCTGTGAGAGCCAGACATCTTGCTTGTTTGTAGGTGACCAAATACTTATTTTCCACCATGATTTGCAAATAAATTCTTTAAAAATCAGACAATGTGATTTTCTGGATTTTTTTCCCCATTTTGTCTCTCATAGTTAAGGTATACCTATGAAAGTAGTTACAGGTCTGTGAGAGCCAGACATCTTGCTTGTTTGTAGGTGACCAAATACTTATTTTCCACCATGATTTGCAAATAAATTCTTTAAAAATCAGACAATGTGATTTTCTGGATTTTTTTCCCCATTTTGTCTCTCATAGTTAAGGTATACCTATGAAAGTAGTTACAGGTCTGTGAGAGCCAGACATCTTGCTTGTTTGTAGGTGACCAAATACTTATTTTCCACCATGATTTGCAAATAAATTCTTTAAAAATCAGACAATGTGATTTTCTGGATTTTTTTCCCCATTTTGTCTCTCATAGTTAAGGTATACCTATGAGGCCTGTCTGAAGTTTGCTAGAGAGCATTTGGATGATCCAGAAGAGGATTGGGAGAATGTCATATGGTCAGATGAAACCAAATAGAACATTTTGGTTTAAACTCAACTTGTTGTGTTTGGAGGAGAGAGAATGCTGAGTTGCATCCAAAG